TATAAAATAAATATCAAAATATAAGTCTTTGCTTTACTATGGTTGCAAACATCAAAAAATTTCTGTATGTGACACGGCATCAGAATTAAGTTAGGGTTTTTCAAAATGCTGAGACGCCGAGCTCCAAAGGTTCGCCATCACTGCATTAAGTAGACTACTAAAAGGCCTTTTAAAAACTTACATATAAACACCCTCTGCCCCTTTGAACAGCTCCTTTCTTTTTTTCTTAAAATATATTCTATTGATCTTACAGAGAAGAGGGAGAGGGATAGAGTTAGAAACATTAATGAGAGAGAAACATCGATCAGCTGTCTCCTGAATACTCCCTACTGGGGATGTGCCCGCAACCAAGGGACATGCCCTTGGCCGGAATTGAACCTGGGACCCTTCAGTCCGCAGGCTGACGCTCTTATCCACTGAGCCAAACCGGTTAGGGCTGAACAGCTCCTTTCCATCACTCAGTCTCAGTTCAAGTGTGGCTTTCTCTGAGAGGCTGTCCCTGACCGTTTATTTCCTTCCCAGCCTTCACCCCAATCCCAAAGTGTGTCTGTTAGTCTTCTAGGTGCCTCCTGCCCTGGCATGGCCCCTCTTCCACAACAGGGATCTTTACTGCCATCTAGAAGGTTTGTTGTATAAAGGAAGGAAGGTAGGAAGAGTGAAAGCAAACTTCCCTTTCTCTTCCCGCCATGCACTGTTACCAACGCTAGTCATTTCCTAGCCCAGCTATTTCTAGACCCAACTTTCTCCCCTTTTTGGACTCTTCCCTTCCCCACTAGAACCATTTCAAGGGCCTTTTATTGTGTATGTGTGTGTGTATGTGTGTGTGTGTGGGGGGGCGCTCTCTGTCTTCTACCTCTTTTGCTTCCCACCTACACGCCATAGAGAGAGCTTCCTTGGTCTTAGTCATACGCTTCCCCTGCTCAACAGACCTCAGTGACTCCAAGGGTCTCAGGATAAACTCCAAACCCCAAGCCTGATAGTTGACTGGAGCTTTATTTATAGTCATCACTAGAGGCCCTGTGCATGAAATTCATGCACAGGTACAGTCCCTAGGCCTGCCATCAGGGCCATCTTCCCTGGCTGCCCTCAGCCAGCCCTGTCCCTGCCACTACCCCCTCTCTCCA